GCACGCACGCACGCACGCACGCGCGCGCGCGCACACCTATTTATAAATATAGACATATTACATTGACATTTAGTAAATTTTTATTCGCGTTTATAAACGTATGAAATATTAGAAATACGGTAAACAATTTTTTTTTTATTTATGAAAAATTTCTAGTATATGTATTATGTATGTAAATTTTGCAGTAAATTACTATTCATCAAATTATAAAGTATAAATAAAAGAAAAATTATTTAAATTAACGAATCGGTGAAAATTTGAATACTTTCCACATAAATTGGTAAAGTTTTTGATAACGATCAATTTGATGACGTAGAAATAGTATTTTGCATATTTGTATGTATGTATCATATATAAAAATTATTATTTACACTTGCATCATATTTATAAATTTTCTATTTAAATATTATTATTACTATTGCTTACATTTTGTAAAATGAAGTAATCTATAATGATTTATAAATTTACATACATATAATTTGCAAACATTGCAAATATTGCAATGTAAATAACAAATATAAAATTAAAAAATTCATGTATGTAAGCAAATTCTAATTCGCATATTTAAAATTTATATTTAAAATAAAATCGTATGCTTGCAGCGTAAAATTATCACGTTATTATTTCGATCCGATTCTTTTATCACACGTATCATGCACATGTATTACATATATATTAAATTTATAAAAAGATTTATAAAAGGCATTTTAGCTATTTTGTACAATAATATATTTGGTCAAATAAAACAAGAATTTTAAAAAGAGATTATTTATTATTACTTGTTAAAAAAAGGTTTGAAATTTAAAATACTTAAATAGTAAGCATGTAAGATATAAATCTAATATAAAGACATAAGAAGATATGTATAAAAGGTAAGGAGTAAAAGATTATTAAAAATCGGAATCATTTTTCTTAAACCTCTTTATTTATTTGTTATTTGTCAGTCAAATACTATGTATTTCTCACATTTGATGAGAGATACGGTATTATCGGAAATAATTTCATGCCGTATTACAACGGTTAGAGGATGACACTTGACAGGCAGGAACTAAAATCCTGTCGATTTTACTAGTAAGGCCAGTCAAAAGCTTAATGGACTGTGGCGTTGGTTCCGTTCTGAAATAAAAATAAATGTTATTTGATGTAAAAGACATTTTTCTATTGAAAATAATCTGGATTGTTAACTGGAAAGAATTTATTTTAATAAAATAATGTGCGCAAAGGATTGGCAAATAAATTCATAAATAAAAAAAATAACAATTGAATTCCGATAGATTATATAATCTGTGATTGTGGTGAATGAAATTCGTTATTTTAAATGTAATATAAAAGAGAGAAATTTTAGGATGCTTACGAAATTAATGAAGGTGAAGATGGCACTTGAAAATCGATATTGTATCGTTTCGTCGAAATTGGCACGGGTGGAGATGATAGAGCCTGGATGTTGTACTCGTAAGATTTCCCTTGAAAAGGATCCGGCGTAATTATTTCCTCGGACTGAGGTACTTGAGGTACTTGAGGTATTTGTACAGAAATTGGATATTCCGCTTGTGGTTGATATGCGATCGGTTTAGTAGAGATCACTCGATAATTTAATTTCAGTGGTTGATAGACGCAAGATTTGGGTGAAACGAATTCCGTCACAGGTTTTGCAGGTTCCTGTAAATTATTTTGCAGATACTTATTTGCTGCACAACAATAGTTACTGAAAATGATATTTATTATAAATCTTTAATAAAATAGGAGAATAGTACATATATTATTATTATTATTATTTAAGAAGGATAGAGCACATCTCAAGTATTGTGTATACATGAAGAATAAGAGAATTTCAGTGAAATAATTCTTTATTATATATACCTAAAGAGTTAGGTAATTAAATTGTAAATGTATATTATAATGTATGTTGAGCTTAAAGGAGATCATTGCTATACTATGTGATAAGATATATATATTATTGTGTAATATATCACACGTCTGATGATACCTCAATTGTAACAGGCAGATAACGTGGTGAATGACACGGCTCGCCATATGTAACTATTTTAGCTCCATTATAATCCGGTAATTTAAAGCCATAAAAAGACCTCGAATGGAAACAGACGATGATAACGATAAAAAATTTTAATTTGAGTACCGCCGCCATCGTCGTAAGATTTTCTCGTAAGGATTCACGAAACCTAAACTGATCTTCGACATATCGCGCTCTTGATATAGAAGTGGTTTCGTCCAAGACAAATTCACGAAATATTTCCTGTTTAGCTGTAACCACAGATAAACCTTTAACAATAACAAAATAATAATCTCTTGTTACTACGTGTTCCGCGAGACTGAGAAATTGCGACTGAGAGGTGGAGTGAGCACGTATTTTCCTTGGTGCGTGTCCTTGCGAGATTTCTCATTTCCTGTGTCACGCAGATCACCAACAAATCATTTTGTTTATTAGGCAATTGTTATAAGAATGAAAGATAAATGTCACATCTATATACTAGTTTTATTAATTACAATATTGATAAATTAAGATACACGTTCTGAATATATAATTATTAAATAAATTACTTTAACATATGTACATATATGTGTATGTATATATATATATAATATTTACAATTATATATATATTTACAATTGCAAAGAAAGAGAGGAGAGAGAGAGAGAGAGAGAGAGAAAGAGAGAGAGAGAGAGAAAGAGCAGACTATATTTTTATAAAACTTTATTGTAACGAAGAAAAGCATTTGTCGCGATCTTTATATAAACTGATTTTTTCTTCCTTTTAAAACTATCGATAACTACATTAATTATCAGAGAGTTCATATTTCATGTGAGAATATTTTGAAATAAAAAATGGCAATCTCTCATATATCTATTATTGACTTTTGGATAGCCGTAATTTTTAATACGTAAAAAAACTTTTATACACGAGAAAAAATTGACTTATGCTGGAAAGATTATATGATTCGATTTAGAAGAGCATCGATATTGAAATGTTGAAAAGAATTGAAGAATTCCTCTCAATTTCATGAGAATATATGTATTAGGTATAATGTATCTTTTTGAAGCACGCTCCTTTTCTCTCAAACATAGTTTTATATCTCAAAAAGATAGAGAGATATTCAGCTTATAATTGTGATGAGGATATTTTGTATAATGTATTTATTAGATATTAACATAGAATTTACATTTAAAGGACATACACTATCGTCGTCATTTACATCATAAATTACTATATATTTCATTCTTGCAATCGTTTTGTACTTTGTTTCATATTTGCCTCGCTGCTTGTAATTTATACCACGTATGTAAATGAAATAAATCAGTTCGATGCGTGCATACACATCATAAATTTCGCGTATGTGCTCGCGAAGAAAGAAGAGAAAAAAGAGAGGATGAAGAGAAACACTTGAACTCGTAGAGCATCTTTAAATAGCTACGCACGCTCCGAGACCCGCTCTTGCTCCCGGAGAAGATACATTATGTTTCCCTCACAGCGATCATCGTGCATTACCATATGGTACTTCCCTTTTCCCGGTTGAAATACTTTATGACGTGTTGACGCGGGTCGTGTTTTGGCCGAGAAAGTTGAGAAGGGAGAGTATAAAGGGAGAGTATTCTATACGCGCATTTGTAAATATTCGTTAGATTATAGACAGAAAGTCGTTTGATATTCAACAAGTCGCCTGCACGAAACAATTTTTATCATAAAGATGCCTAAAACAATCGTCATAAATCTTTTTCGGTTGTTAGAAATAAGATTACTACACTGGACGAAAAAAAATTGGTTGAAAAACGCAAAATTTGTTTCATTTTAATAAACCTGAATGATTTCTTACATGAATCTATAATATGTATGTACGTATATATATATATATATATATATATATATATGTTAAAATAATTTATTTAATAATTATAAATTCAGAACGTGTATCTTAATTTATTAATATTGTATAAATTAATAAAACTAGTATATAGATACGACGTTTATCTTTCAAAATATTTAGTCCGATACGTTCGACTAAACGTTACTACGATGACACAAAATAATTTGTTACTATTATAAACAAAATATTATTTTTTAACTAAACTATTTTGTTTCAACAAAAATTTATCGTATTCAACTCAACCGTTTTATTAAAAATACATACTATTTATTATCCCCATCAGCATCAATTCGATACTTGCAGGAATTTAAACAAATATATTACTTGGATAAATAGCAAACACAAATAAATACTACTAGTATTTCGAACAAAATAATTTAATTGAGTTGGTTTAGTTAATTCTTAATTAAAAAATTTTGATAGTTGACATGAATAAAATATACCTTTCTTTGTGCAACTAAAGAATTGTTGACTTAACTATTGAATCAAACAACTATATGAATTTAGTTCGTACAATCAATTTTTTTTCTCAGTGCATTACAAATATTTTGTTTATTTATGTAATACTGTAGTATATAATATTGTTACAAGTAATGGTAAAAGTAATAATAAATTAAAAAGATTTAATAATTTTGTTTCACAATTAAAATTTATTAAATGAATTTTGAGATAAATTTATCAGATGTATTTAAAGCTGTAATAATTTATTAGAGCAATTTATCTAATTTTCAATTAAATTTGACTCACAGAATGTCGGAATAAAATAAAAAATTAAAAAAATGATTTTTTTATTATATTAAATTATAATATCACGTAATTGCTGCTTATTAAAACAAAAACGCGTCGCTATGTTAAAAGTATATGCACTATACAATTGCAATTTTACGGATTTTACGGAGTAAAATGATACGGTTTTCCCTTAATCTTTTATCTAGATACACGGACACATATATGGATTATATATGTTATGTATACATACATAACATGTGGAGATTTTCTTAGCTGAGAGAGAAAGAAAGATAGAGGAGGGAAAAAATAAGGATAATTAGGATTTGTATAATAAAATTAACGACGTCAATCGACTTGACTTTCGCACAATTGCTATATATTATCTTAACAATAACAACATCACAATTAGACACACGACTGGGACTAGTGTAACATATATTGGAGGATGTCTACGTCTTCGCGTTTCAGAGAAGAATCAAGATTCATCTGGGTAATCGCGAACCGTCAATAAGCTGCGAGTCCTTTTCACGCATTTCACGTATAACGTTTACGAAAAATCATACAGCTTGATATGAGGGACCATGCTTCTGGACGAAACTTTTCAATCTGGCGAATATGCCGGATGTGGAATCATCACTGTCGTCCTCCTCGTAGCTATTGTCGTCCGCGTAATGACGAACGTACAACTCCGGAGCATGGACGCTACTTCTCAGGGTGTCATCTTGGTCTTCGTTCTTCACGAGTTCTCGATTGACGACGACGCTGCCAGGAACGTAATCGGGGTCTGGTGGTCCTATCGGACCGCAATCCGCTGCGATATCGTCTTGCGCGTTGAATGTGCCAATAGGATCCGTTGATAAAGGCTCGTTGCATGGCGCGTATCCTAGATCTCTAAAACCAATTATTCGCCAAAATAGGTACATGTATAATATTTATTACGTAAGCATTTCTCTCGATACTTGAATTGCCATACAAATAACACTCGCGTGTGTATAAATAAAATAAAAATATGGATGATGCTTATTCTTGGAAATTATTCCAATTTGTCGTTGCGCCGATATACTAATTCGACATCGAGACATTTTTAATCTCTCTAAATGTCCAAACGTTGGAGATTTGAGCGAGATTGCGGATTAAAATCGTATTTTTTCAAATGACAGTTTTGTTTTAGAAAAGTACTCAAATTAATTGGAAAAATGTCAAAATGTTAGATCAATCTTAGGAATGAAAACGCACGCGTTTTTATGTTGCAAAAAAAAAGGAGTAATTTTACATTTTAGCAAGATTATTGAAGAACCGAAAGAGAACGCTTTGCAAATGACCTGATGACGCCTGGTCTAATGAAAATGCCGACTTGACCCGCAATTTAAATACGCTATAGTTAAATAAAATTGTTTTTTTTTTCGGCTTACCCGTACGTAATAAAGTTCTCTTGCTGCCGCTGGGCAATCTCCTCCTGATTTATCCTCTCGCGTTCGATGGCTTCGAGCTCCGCCAACTTTGCTTCCTCGTGCTCGTCGTAAGCGCCGATAGTGACGGGAACCGATGACACTGATTTCAACTCTACGACAGGTTTATCTAGGACTTGAAGTTTTTCCTCGGGGACGTCCGGCACCTTTTTGCTGGGCGATGGCTCGGTCGGCACAGTCCGATGACCGAATGCCAGCTTGTCTTCCGGTATGAACGCTCTCTTATTGTAGTACACGGTACGCGGAAAGAGATTTTTATATGCCAAGGTGACTGAGACCGGATCCGCTGGCAGTCGAGGATACGAATAGTCCTCAGGAAACTCTAAAATACAAATACAAACGTCTCATCTCAGTATTGCTTATCTCAATTTTACCTCAAATTCAAAGCAGGTTTATATTAACTCGACTGAAACACTCAAATCTCAAATAGGAAGATTTAAGAAGAGGCAGAAAAGAGAGCTCTACCTTGAGTGATAATCCAACATGTTAATCTAACTTGAAAAGAGAGACATACCTAAATCATCGCCAAAATCGTTAGGAGATTCGTAGCTAGAAGTACGACGACTCGTAGCCGATCCTTGGATCGTCTTGATGTTACTTGACGTTGCGAAACCGGCCGCGCTGGCACCCGCGTACGATCCTTGTCCGTATGCGGTCGAGCTTGCGCTGGAACTCGCGTATGACCCTCCATATCCTCCGAAACGACCGGAACTGCCGTAACGCGTAGCCGCGTATTTGCCGAGACTTCCGCTGATTGCGGATCCACCGGTCGTCAAACCAAGTTTTCTTAATCCAGCCTCGTCGATCTGTCCGTTGAGTACTTGGACACAAACCTCGTAAGGAATAGGGGGCTCACATTTGATTTTGCCAGGATGTGCCGGTGTTACTTTGGTAATCACCTGGAATTTATCGCTCGACGGGCTAGACGGATAACACAGGTCGCCGATCGGTGGAAAACTGTTAACGCAATGAAAAGAATGTTTAGTCAATGTAATCGAATTGAAATGCATGATGAACAAATACGGCGTATACGGCGAAATATACCTGGGCACGACTTTTCCTTCAATATTAGAGGATAGGAGATCGCGAACCTCCAGAGATTCGGAAGTCTTTCCGCATCCGCAATTGGAAGTAACTCTGCTCGAGACAGATTTGAAAGGTGAATAAGCGTTGCTTCCTCCAAGAATTCCGACGGAAGACGAGGAACTTGAAGAGCTGCTGCTGCTGCTGCTACCGCTATACGTTCCTCCGTATGCATATGGCTTATTGGGAAAAGATGCCACGCTTTCGGATTGCCATCGATCCGTTCCCACGGACAGTCTTCCAACCGCTTCACGTGCCGCTGCAGCTTCGTTGATTGCTTCCGGCGACGCATAGAACAGCGGTTTTTGCACTTTCGCTGCTTTTACCACTATTTCCCCGCATCTGCACGCGTTGATGCCTAAAGAATCAAGATATGAATGACATAAATAATTAAATCACTTTTTTATATCCTAAAGTTAAAGTGAGAACACTCCAGTAAACGGGAAAGGATTAAAATAAATTAAAATTTTTTAATTTATGGATTGAAATGGATTTAGCCTCTGTGGAAATGAATGCATTTCTATTTTTTCATAATACGAACATAATATAATATTAATATATATACATATATATATATATATATATATTATTTTTTGGATTTAAATAAATTGAAACAATGCATTTCTTAGTCACAATTTTTAATTGACCTAACCATTATGATCCATTTTTATGGAAAAAATTTTTGAATTTAATTAGATTGAAAAAACTGTATTTTCTATCTGGAATTTTGAATTAACCAGTATATTCACGATTTGCTTTTTAATGCTGAATTTTTGTTAGATTCAATGGTGAATAGAAAATGTGCTTTATACAATTCCTATAAATGAATATAAATGAATATATTGGGCATTGAAATGGATTTAGATTTTCAAAAGTACGCATTCGCGAACGTTGAAATGAATTTTTTTCAATTTATTTCAATCCTTTCTCGTTTATATATTGAGATTAACGTGATCAGTAATGTGAGTGTAACAGTAATGTAATACAAAAGTAATTTAATACAAAAATTTTAACATCTTTAACTATTTCGTAATGTAAGAATTATGTCGCGAGATAATTGTCGGATAAATAGCGGAAATCGGAAGATCAAGAAGTTAGTGATTCGTTGCTCGAGTAACGCGGAATACAATCGACGTACCTGGGCCTAAGTTTCCACACGTATGTTCTGATTTGACTGGACTGCCGATGGACCGGGTCACTATCGTTAGGAGCAAGGCGGCTCCTAGAACCAAAGAGGACCTCATTCTTGTCTCAACGATAATACTCTCTTCTCTTCTTCATCTTATTTCTGGCGTTACATTTATATAAGAAGCCAGCAAGCTCTTTAGCGAGCACGACGATTTTGCAATCGATCAACAATGAGTGTTTGGGCGACTTGGATATGCCCGAATATACTTCCTGTTGCAACGTTTATACGTACAAATTTATTATGACTTTATTGTCACTTCCTGAATTCGCACGTTCCAATAAAACGTGTAAAAAGCCGCGTTTAATAGTTTTCGCGTTCACTCGCGTTAAGAGATATCATAATCATCCGTTTTGTTGTAGAGGAAACGAATCGTCTGATTAATTTAATTTCATTTCCGTATTTGTGACTAACAATAAACGAAACGGAGAGTTGCCAGGATGAAAGTCAAGAATGCATACCGATTTCCATGAATGATGAAAGAAGCGAGTCAAGGCCATTAATCATGAGACCACGCAGTCTTCCTTTTCCCAGTTTTGTACTTTAATACTATATTTGTACTGTTTTTAAGCGGATAAACATGTATTACAAATGCGATAAAATGTGCTACATTACTTACGTTAAAAATATTAAATAGTATTACCGGAGAATATTTCGAGACAATAATTTCAGGATATCACGAGGAAGAAAAGATGAAAGATTTTGAAAGATCATGTACAGTATCATAAAATATTTTATTTCCCATGCACATGACACAAGATATTTTGAAATTTGATCTACAGTTGTAGCTGATGTTGTTAGATTTCAAGAGGACGAAACTCTTTCGGCACTTGCCTTCGACGAATATATTTAAAGAAAAATACGAGATATAAAAATTTATGATTTATACAAAAATCAAGTGAAAAGCCTTGCTTACATGAAATGTAGTAAATAAGTAATAATTCTAAATAGTAATAATTGCAAACATAACAAATGCCTGTATAATTTGTAAGATAACATGCAACATTCAATAAGACTCGAATTAAATTATTACATTATATTATAAACACTATAATTAACTATTTATATACATCATTTACAAGGTATATTCGCGCGGACGCGCGCGCGCGAGAGAGATAGAGAGAAAGAATTATCTCCTTAATACAGACAAATAAGTTTGGTACATTTTGACATATTGATGTATATGTCATTCAAAGTCTACACGCAATCTTTTTACAATACATACAATTTTGATGAATAAAAAACTTTATTTATTGAAGAAATCTGACGCTCGTTGCCGCTGCGGAGGTAGATTAAGTAAGTTATCGGTGAGTACGGGTCCTTGTATCCGCGTGGCATTAATTTCCGACTTTTGAGAGGTGCTACTGGTTTCCTTAGCGAGTACGTTTGCACGTGGCGTATTAGGTGCTCTGATGCCTACGGACGGAGTCCTGGACAATGGCGTTCGCCGAGGGGACGGCGTGCTCGATATCCGAAGTTTCTGAGTCGCTAATCTTCTTGCCGCGGGAGACATAGTGCTTAGACGATCTATAGTTGATCTCGGTGACGGACTGTAAAGAAAATTTACAATTGCTTGTAAATTTTTACACATTTACATTTGATTATTATGCATTGACACTTGAAAACACTTACGTGGCTAATGATTTTCTGGCTGCTTCTAAGGCTTTATTTTTTCGGTCCCTGTGTCTCTCGCCAGCCTTCTCAGCCAACTGCAACGCCAGTTGCTCTCTTTTCGGCGGTTCCGCTATTCTGAACGACGGTCCCTGACTCGTCTTCAACAACGGAGTGTCACCACCATCCAATCGAAAGGGCGTCCCCTCGATCTGACCCCATGTCATCAACGGACTTTCGCACTCTCCCGGTCTCGGACTTGGCGTCACCACGAAGCTAAAACCATTCACTCGTGGCGTTGCGTTTCTGACGATCTCTTTGCCATCCACGCCAATCTTGCCGTCGTTCGCTCTGGACTGTGACTTGGCCAGTTCGTCAATGGTCTCTTTATTTTGTTGCTCGTTAAACGGGTTTGTTCGCAATCTCGTGTTTTCGTGCATTATAGTTTGCTTCTTCTTAGCCAATTCTATTTTCTCCTCTGCCGTAAGTTCCACTCCGTCGGGTATGTACATAATGTAATTCTTATTCTTGTAAGTCCAACTGTCTACTTGTTTAGGCCTGGTATTTGATCCTTCGATAGCTAAAACGTGGTCAGTGATGGGTTCGTCGATAGCGAGCCATGCTTTCGACTTGTCCTCCGCCTCATAAAGCCAGGCGTACTTGAGCTTACGGTTATTCTCGGCTTCAACCATCATCTCTTCAAAACTAGCGTTATCCTCGCTAGTATGAGTACTCAAATAATCATCCAGACCAATCTTATTTTCAGTTTTATCCATCATCTTTATGGACTCGACGCATATTTTTTCAGACGATACGACCTGAGAGGTGGGTGGCGATTCGTGGCGTTCTGACTCGCAATCAGTTCTGCGCAACGGGGTTTCGAAAGTCGCTGGACTGACTGGCCTCTCAGTGACGGGTCGGCCGGAGCTATATTTCGCATACAGCTCTCTCATTCTGTTCATATCGTTCTGCTCTAAAGCATCTAGATACTGATTTTGTGCTTGTAGCTTTTCCAAGTGCGGGAAGAAATCCTTTTGTATAATGTCGCTCATTTTTTCAATATATGTATCTTCGTCTAAGATCTTTGGTCGAGTACTTTTACTCCTCTTAACAGATCCGATAGGCTTCTTGAATACAATCAAATCCTTAATATTTTTAGCGGCTTCGAGAGCCTTAGAACCTGGACTGTCCGTAATGGAATCTGAAGGAGGAAAATTAACACATGCATGACATACGAATAATGCGATCTAGAAAGACGGCTGGAAAAATTTGCTGTTTAAGAACTTTTTCTATATATTGTGAAATAAAAAGATGAGTTTCTCATTTGATTCGTTTGTAAAATGAAAAGATAGTCGTCTTACATTTACATTATGATACTTACTCATTTTGATCAACGTAGCTCCGTACAATCTTCACACAGGTTTAATTGAGGTTATGTAACGAGTGTGAACAATTCTCGCTCAAATTATACCATAAATAACCTTGAATATGGAGCATTTACCAGTGTAAGAAATATTAGTTTATATTACAAATCTGTTCGATGGAACCTTGTACTGATTACATCACGTCTCACTTCTTAATTTTTCTACGGAAATCAGGCAATAGATTCTATCTGCCTGCAATCATATGATTCATATCTACTTTATCCAACAGCATATGTATATGTATATATATATTCGTTAATGTTATCGACATATGATGCGCGACTGTACATACATATGTCACGTGGCGCTATCTATCTTACGTGGTCACCAACGGTCGATCCGCACGTATGTACAAAATCGAAATTGAACGATATCGACAGATGGAAAGCTAAGAATTTCAATCAAGTTTCATAATTCACACACACTTGCGCTGCTGGTGCACACACTGACACACTACACAGTGCACACTTGTGACTTGAAGATGCGACGCCGACCGCGGCGTTGCGAAATGTTATTATTCGGGTCGTTGTACAATATAATGAAATAATACATGTATATGACGCAAGTTCGTTTTATGGAAAATTTATTTTAAATGTTCCACAACCTACAACTGCGCGACGGACGTATGTATATATATGTACGTAAGAGTAAGAAACTTGGAAACATATCTGAATATAACGTATGTATAACGTAATTCGACTATGGCTGTGCAACATGCAGGAAACATTTACATTTACGATATACACGTGCATTTCGCATTTCGTTCTTGTACCGCGGGTTCGATGCACGTGGACATGGATATAGGCATAGAGTTGACAATCGCAATTTCTTTGTTCCAAATAATAACAATCGCCCAACAATAATTGTCTAAATTTTAAAATAATCTTGTGAATCGAAAGATTAAATGCATCGCTGCGATCGCCCCGCGCGGTTAAGATTTAATTCCTTTAGAAGATCTGCGATGAATATATATGGTACGGCCCTGGATCTCTGGCCACTATATACTCGCTCCGGTCGCCGTCGTCGCCGATGATATTTTGGTCCAGCTGGGACAGTGGGACGGGACCACGAGAGATATCGCGTTTGCGTACGTGTCTCTCGTCGTGCCGGCATGGCGCGCGCGAGCGAGCGAGCGAGCGACGAGCAAAGATCCGATCCGTGGCGAGGCGAGGCGAGGCGAGGCGAGAATGCGAGATCCCGACTCTCTCGAGGTGTTGGAGGGCCACGTTGACAGACATATGAGGATTCCAGCGGCGAGATAGGATATACGTGCCGACTACGTCGCGGAGAGAGTACCGCCAAATTGCGCGTCACCTAGTTCCCGTTTCCTCCTTTCTCGACAAAACCTGCACCTCCACGACAATCGTTGAGAAAAGTCCATTCGACTTATATTCGCACATTTCTAATTTATTAATTTTTCCAAAATTTTATGCGCGTAAAAAAAAGGCAAGCTTTGCTGCACGTTGCAGCACAGTCATTATACAGCTATTATAATGTCGCAAATTCAATAAAAAAAAGCGATCAAATTTTGCTAATAATGAATTATTCAATATACATCGCGAGACGAAAAAATTTTGTCTTGTTAAAAATTCTTGTTGAGTATTTTATAAAAACACGGACTTTTGTTGCTAAAGCAAAATAGAGTTTCTACTTGTAACATTAAATACTACAAGGTTTGTCCTTGCGACTTGAAGTTGCGACAAATAAATCAATAGTTGAGCGAAACTATTTGTAGATTTAACAATTAAATTATTATTTTTAGCAGATAAAAAATTAATGAAAATTAATGTCCTCTGTACAATAATGAGCATTTTTCTCTTTACAACAACGATCTCAAAGCAAATAGGATAAAAACTAATAGTATAAAAACGATCAGGAAAAGCCTTAATTTTTTTTTAAACTTGGCCTTTGCAAAATCGACACGATGCCATGCGACGCGACGTCCCCGTGATCTTCCGATTATACTCCCGATTCCCGCGATATACTCATAATCCACGACTTCGGCATCGATACGATTACGATCTTTGAAGATAAGAGTTATCGTTATTTATTTCGCATCGCACACACTTTATTAATAATAACGAAAAGTCACGGTTATTTACGTATACTAATCGCGTATACGAACGCGTATATATTTCAATAATCGCACGACCGATGACTGACAAAGCGCGTTTAATTAGCCAACTCGTCAATTAAAAACTATCGTAATGTTTCTTCTTTGGTGCCGCGCCAACTCGCGCGCAAACTTGCTTTCTTTCTTCACATTTCTTCCAATATTTCCACAATATGTTGTTTCGAAAATCATAATGTTACGACGCGCGATGTAATTGTAAAAGGCGCAACGTTCGATTTCTAGCCTCGCGGTCTTAAAGGAGATCAGGCAAATCGAAATAACAATACGGTTAGGTAGGAAAAAAAATAAGAGCGGCGACTCTCGCCGAGAAGCGTAAAACTTGAACCAAGATACGCACTTCCAAAATAAAGAAAAGATGTCTAAGATGTTTTGTTTCTGCAATGTTAAGAGATTTATTTATATACTTGGGATATAAACCAAAGTAAAACGGTACTTTACAGATACCAAAAAAGGAAGAAGACGGACGTGTCTATCGGCGAGAGAATGAAAACTGTCCAAGCAAGCGGAGAGCGTGAAGACAGATGCGGACCGTGACCATGCCTACGCGCGGCACAAGTTTACCTTACCTACTTGATCGTAAATAAAAGGGAGAGACGATCTTCTATGTACAAATATTAATGTGCAGATACGACAGGCAAGTTGATAATGTTATCGAGACAAAAATGCAATGCTTTATTGTGAGATATAAGAATTAAAAGTTGCATTAATAATTAGGCCACTTACGTTTCTTGATCGAAATGACGATCAAGTTTTTTTGATAAGGATTCGGCTAAAGGTCTTTCGCCGAAACGATTATTAGCACGCGCGCGTGCGAACTTGAATAACTACGCAAAGGAAAAAGTGATTTTCACCAAGTGGCGCGGGAAAGTCAAAATACGATGCAGGCGAGCAAAGACTAGCTGCGGGGTAAAGTAAAGCGGTGTATGTCGAGACGGCGAAAGTGAAAGAGAGCGGTAGGATATAGGGTCGAGTAGAGAGGAAACGAAAAGGTTGCAGACGTAAAGCGTAAACAGTCGAGGTGCGATTTGACGTGCACTCCAACTCCGGGTCGTTGGTACACGCGCGCGCGAGGCGCGCCTTCCGCTTTAAGAAAGAGGGCCCCGTCTGCCCCGCGGTCCCCGTCTGCGTGTGGAGGAAGACGGCGATGGCTGGAATCTGTAAATCTGTCATTGCGTCCGTATTCGTGCGCGGGATATGAACTTCTTGATCGTCGCATCCGCGCCGCTTCGCGACGCGTTTCCTCGGATCTCGAATCTGGCCGCGGTTTAAGTTTAAAGCTTCAGACAATCTGACTTTTCAGTCTCAGAGAATCGAGAGAGCAGTTTTGTTCAGATCTCTTCGCGGTAATACGTGTTCGTAGCGAGTCCAAAGTGGCACTGGATTAGAGACCGGAGAGATATCGGCCAATATCGAGATACTATATAGATATCTACACATTATGATTTGAATGTAAAATAGTCGGATGATAATAAGACGTGGATTCGCATGTATGTAGATGGATAATTATTACGTATAGATCAATATAATGCATATATAGGATTAAAAGTTTAGAGCTTATTTTTTTCTCTTCTTAAAAGAAAAATTCCATGATTATGGATTTCGAGGTATCGATTACGAAAAAACCTTATTGCGACTTATGTCATCATTCTCGCCTAAAACTATGAAAATTTCATTTGAAATATTCTTTTCACGAAAAGCATGTCCTTCGCGAATCGCGATACATCGTTTTTTCGCGCATTCTATATATATGTGTGTGTGTGTGTGTGTGTGTGTGTGTGTGTGCAGATGATATATCTTGACTACGTTAACTCGAGAGCTTCTTCGAAAATTCAGAAAGCGTTTCGCCGCGTCGACGATGTGGAAACTATAAAAGCTCTGCTACCGAATCGTATGATCCGGTGGTACGCGATGCAGGCGATGACAGATTCATGATCCGCGGCATGGTTCGTCTTTCTCCTTCCTCCTGGATATATGGATACACGCCCCCTCTTTCCTCCTTCCTCTTTTTCCTCACCATGCGCAAAGAATCTAAACCGAGCGGTTCATTTGTCGGTCTTTGATCCGTACGATCAACGAGTCACTGCCGGAAAATTAGAAAGAAACTCTTTTATTTATAAGCTCTTTCGCGCGTCCTGCTCCTCATTATATCCGATTCTATTCGCGGTATTATCGATAAATGAGATAGTGATAATAATAGGCCGTCGCAGAATATAATTAAATTGGCCAATTCTTTTTTTAAAAAAGAAGGCCATTAAAAATAGGGATTGTAAGAAAAGGAACACAAGAAGAGATTGGTAGTTTTTAAGGAATTGAAATGATTTTCATGTGCGTTAATACGTCTAATGCTCTGCCGCGATTCGATTCTGAACATGAGATTACCTTTTAAATATGTGACGTGGAGAAGTTGTATATGTATACTATTTACTAGTAGCATGTACATACGCGGAACAACAGCATTGCAGCGTGCTGAGTAGCGTAAATTCAGCGTTCGTTCACTGATTGTAAGAAGAGAACACGGTCAGAAATTGAGTTGGCTAGAAAGATATATGTTGTACATATACTCGGACGACAGGAGGGTGAAAGATTCCAGACGCGGTGACTTCCAAGGAAGTCACCGCGGGTTACGCCTCCGTGATAAAGAAGGTTTGTAAGGTTCTAATACGTTTACAGAAAAAAGGAATCTGCACATCTTTAACCAGTAAAAGATATGACTAGAGGCTATTATCAGCAAATATATTTGTGCTGACACTCTTATACAATATTACGTACACTTATTAGAAAAATATTGCCTTATTGTTAGAATCTCAAAAATTCGTACTAGTTGTTGTAATAATTGACACTTGACACTTTAGTTAATTTTACTAACAGTTCCAGTTAATTGCTAATTAATGGTAATTAAGTCTAAATTTTAATCTATAATCTTAACAGTTGGCATCGAGATTACGTTCTCAATCTTATTTTAGGAAATCAGTCTTAAAATTATTTTTCTTTCATGATTAATTTCTTGATAATGTGTGTGTGTGTGTGTGTGTGTGTGTGTGTGTGTGTGTGTGTGTGTGTGTGTGTGTGTGTGTGTGTGTGTGTGTGTGTGTGTGTGTGTGTGTGTGTGTGTGTGTGTGTGTGTAGTGTGTGTGTAGTGTGTGTGTGTGTGTGTGTGTGTGTGTGTGTGTGTGTGTGTGTGTGTGTGTGTGTGTGTGTGTGTGTGTGTGTGTGTGTGTGATAATTAACAGATTATTGGCGATTATTATTTTTGACAAAAAACCACGTAAACCACGTAAATCTTTTTCTTTTTGAGCGACCCTTTTCTTTTGAGGCAATAAAGACTTTCGCATGACGTCCTTTAATTCTCGACGTTAGTTAATTTGAGGGAAAAGGGGGAGGGGATTGTTACGTCGTCTTTGATTCGTTCAGAAGAGGTGTCACTGATGGCGGTGCCAGTGAGGTCGGTTGACCTCTTGAGGATTAACTCCAGTTAGTCGCGCAATACCTACAACGAAGATGAAAGAATACGTCAGAGAAAGGGATGGGGTGTCTTTCTCTTTTTTACTGCCGGCGGCGTCACGCGTCGTCGATAAGCGCGGCCTCTCTGTAGACTAGGAGTCTCGCGCGCGCGAGTCTTATATCACTCTTAAAGTTAAGGTGTCCAAAGTACAAGAAAGACAAGACCCCCCTTGTCGTGGCATACGCTATATTTTTCTCGTAACGACTTGTGCGCCCGCGCAAAAGTCATTTCACATATGTTAATAAGCTCCAATTTTGCGCGCCAACTAAATTAACAAGTTGATTGCACTTTGGAATAAGTTACATTATAATCAACTACAGAAAAATAAATTTAAGAAAAAATATACATATCTACAATTAAGTAAATCGGTTTTAACTCTTTGTAGTATAGAGTAGTATCGTCAACACCTACTAGCAATGCGCTAACAATAAGACAAATTTTTCTAAAAGCATGCCTTCTCTTTATTTATTGATATCTTCTTAATAATAATAATAATAATCATATCCTGCGAATTATAGTATGATTTCTTACACAAAAGAAAATTGATAGACATATAGTTTAATTTTCGATAATATATAATAGATCGCGTGCTTACGCTTACGGGATGCTTATACGTACAACATCCCGTTTCATTGCACCATTTTTCTCCTTTAGTCAGAGGCGGGGACATTTTTGAAAATACGGACGAGTGCAAAACGTTTAGCTAAACCGGGAGAATGTAGCCATGGCACCGATGATCATTAAGCATACGCCTGTAATATGTTTACACTGCAGCGTTGTTCCTCGCGCAGCCATCAATCACGGCGAACGTCGAGTCGGTCTCGTCCGTCGTTCCATGAGACTGACGGAGGCTTCAGACGCTCGGGTTCCTTTCCATCTCGCTTCGTTGCCGCTTGCTCGTCATTTCCGACAGTTGCGGTGTCAAATCATGATTCGCATGATGGTTGACAAACGTATCATTGTTGGCTTTAATTGCTAATTAATTTTAGCGAATGCGACGGTTGATATTCCAAATTCTGAAAAGTCTGACGACTTTTACGTAGAAATACTTTTTTTTAAATCAAAATAATAAATAATAAATAAATCTTCACTAACAATAAGTCGTTTTGAACGTCGTTTTTATACATTATGTATATCGAAAAATATTTTATACATATATGTGCAGATCGATTTATAATGAAAAATATAAATATCTCGAAAAGTGACATAGAAAACATGGAAAATTGTTTCAAAAGACAAAAGTTATACGGTTTGAAGGGAAACAGATATTGATAAAATAAATTTTTCAAAGTCATATGAAGATCATTGCTTTTTTTAAATTAAATTATATAATTTTTTACATAACATGATTCCCTCGAATTCTGTATATAAAAGTATTAAGATAAAGTTATCGAAAGATCTTATACTTTACGAGATATTTTATACTTTATTATACGCCTTATTTCGATATAAAATATGAAATATCTCAAACTATTAATTTCTTAATAATTTAATACTTTTGTGCGCAGAATAATGAGATGAATCGATTGGTGTAAAGAAAACACGCAATTGCTTTAAAAAAGAAATGCAATTTGTAATATGCAACTATATATTTATTTTGAAAAGTAACTGCGTGTTTTCTTTAAACCAATTGATTATTCTATGCATAAAAGTATTAAGGTACAATTATGTAAAAAAATTATAAAATGTATTTAAAAGCAGCGCCTTTATATGACTTTGAAAAATTGATTTTATCAATATTTGTCTCTTCAAACCGTAGAATTTTTGTCTGAAACAATTTTCCGTATTTTCCATATTTTCGTGATATTAATTGTTCATTATAAATGGACCATTCTGTATATACATATATATATATATATATGTGTGTGTATGTGTGTGTGTGTGTGTGTGTGTGTGTGTGTGTGTGTGTGTGTGTCGAGTATTACATTTGCACATATTTTTATCATTAATATATTTTTAAATAATAATATATTTTGTTGTAAAGAATAAAAATTTTTCGCCCGCGCGTCACGAATCGTACATTCGATTTCGTAGGAAAAAGGAGTTTTGTTCAGAAGAAATAAATTGTGCATAGTTTGCCTTATTCAACCGTATACGTTTATTCTTCGTTTGGCCATAAAATGTCCCTCCGCTGCTATCGCATATGCTGAAGGAGAACTCTTAAAAAGTTAAAGGCACAATGGTACGATAGCCGGGCGGCATAATTTATTAAGGCACTTAGTAACCACGTTACTCTCACCAAGTGTCATGGCGCGTTTACTTTCCCGTCCTGGCTCGAGAACGTTTTAGGCTCGTTCGGCATTTGAGACACTCAGTATAAATAGACGCACTTTGCTCCTACAAAAGGCACTTACTTCCCCCCACGATCTTCCGCAACTTTACCAGTTACATCGATCAGTCTCGATTCTTTTCTTACGCGCAAATTAATTCAAACGATCACACAGATTTACACGGAAATTAATATCAAAATTGATTCGCAAATAAGAAGTTTGGGTTATCGATTGTATGCGTGTTTCGTAATTGTCTTTAATTTATTGATAATTTTAATATCGCGTGCAGACGCACGTTAGCACTTTGTAAAAGTATGTTGATGTCATCAACGGTATATGCGCGCGTATCGTCTAGCTAATTATTCATAATTTAACTCACGATCAGATATTGGCACAATCCTTGATACAAGTTACAGGTTACATCATTGAGTAACTCAGCAAATCGAGTAACGAGACTATATATATACGCGTAAAAATATAATGATTTATCATTTATAAACTATATCCTCACTCTCATTATCTGTTAAATTAAATAAGCTTAAATCGAAAATTGTCGTTACACGCAAAATTACTCCAAAACACATAACATACATAGATATACGTACACGCGTGCGCGTAAAAATGGTCATCTTTTAATTGAAATCCTGAAATCATGACATTTTATGCGAATTGATTCTTTTTATATAAACTTGTAAGAAAAAGTCGGCCGCGAATGATACGGATATATCTTTTGGTAACTGTTTTTCCAGTATTTTTCGAATGTAACAAAGACGGATGTAACGACAAAGTCATTATAAATAAGATGAGAGAGAATCGGTCGCTGCACGAATCGCGAATAGCGAATAGCGAATCTACGCGGTTATCGTGGCCCGTAGAGAGACGCGCTCGAATGCGCATGCTGCGGATAATGGACCGCGTTGACCGTATGCGCTGACGATTGTCCATGATGACTCGAGTAATGCGTCCAATGGCTACCTGCACCGCCCGTTGCACCGTAGAACTGATGGTGCTCCTGAGATGTGGCAGATACACCCGGAATCTGATGCATCGATGCACCCGGAATCGGCATCGCGTTGTAACCTGCAGATGCAGGGAGAATGGCACCCGCGCCACTCGCGGCTCCCGTGGCGGGCCTTTTGGCGGGATTTGACATCCCGCCGACCGCGACGGCCGCCACGCCGTCGCACTCGTCCGACTCGCAATCCCGGAAGCCCTTGGCGAACGGGTTACTGGCGATCTTGAGCTGCGTTATCCGATGATTTTGGTACGCGGTGACCGCGGTGAACCTAGTTTCCGGGAAGGAAAACGTCTTGAAGTTTTCCGTGCGGGGATCCGGCGCCGAGCCCGGTGGCGAGGGAGCGACCACCACGTGGCAGCGCGGCTGATAACGGTGCATCGAGTTCAGGATAATCTGCAACGCGAAAAGATCAAAGGTCTCGACATATGTGCAAAATGCGCTCAGGAGACCAGTACTATCGAGTGTTTTTAACGCATACAGAATCTATAGAGATATCTATTATAGAGCGATTCTCCAGCATTCTCGGGCACGAATATACAAAGTAATCAACTTTCTTCCTTCTTATACGAACATGCAGTTTAAAGTTTCGAAAGAATTAGGCAGACGGAATATCATTTTTAAGATCGATTGAGTAAACGCCAAATAAAGCGATGTAAAGTTTCATGATCGACATTCATTTTGATAAATGATTCGACTTAACTTAAAATAGAAGAAGAAAAAAGGAGCTAGGAGGTTGAATTTAATTCTTTCTCTCTCTTAAATTGTCAAACGCGAAATATCTGTAAAGTTTGCAAATTTAAAACGTTTTTTTTTCTTTTTAATTTCGTAAAAGTATAGATCACAAGGTCGATCGTACTGCACGAAAAGACGGAGTATGTAGGTACATATGTTACAAATATATTGTGACAAACGCTTTCACGCGCAGCTCGATCGATAGGAAGCATACAAATTGGTAAAGTTCCCTTCGTACTCGAGGAACTAACCGAGAAAAAAGGAAAGATATACAAGAGAAAAAGAAGAGAAATGGGAACACGTGAAGCTCGTATTCGGTGGAAGGAAGGAGCGCCACAGGGGGGCGGTCGCAATGTTTGACAGCTACGAGAGACTCGGTGACTAATTAATGTAAAAACTAACCCCCGGCCCGCAATCCGACACCCTCGGCCTTTCCTTTGCGCACTCACACACATGCATATGCTTCGTGATGTGTTGGTAGATACCTACGTATGTGCACGCGTGTGTCCAAACGTACGTATGCGTATACTTGCTACGCGAGAGGAAAAGAGGCGTGTGTGGCCTCCGAAAATTAGACCGCACCGTTTCCCGCGAGTTAACTTTTCACCGATAGTTTTGTCTAATTCTCTAACGTTGTCTAATGTTTCCGTTTAACCATCTAACTTTTGCTGCAATAATTTCTCCTTTAACACATTATTGAATATTGAATATTGAACATTGCGCTTCGTACATTCCACAGATATATGTATATTTTAGGTCACCTTGCGTTTTTTCATCCAGAAATTGCAGATTTGCATCTCGGATTAATTTTTCCATAAATATTTAGACGTAATATTTTTGCAATTTTTTATATTTAAATCTAAACATTTTTATATTGACATTAAAAGTGGTAATTTTGCTCGAATATAAAATTTATTCAAGTTTCAAGTTAAACAGTACTTGAATAATAAAGAGAGTCTCCAACACTGAGGAACACCGTTCATACATTTGTGATCTCATCATCAGTCATCTCTAGGAAATATTATCTCTCGAACACGATAATTATGCTAAAATTAAAGAATTTTATCTCTATTTCATATTTATCTTTGCGTACTTTCTTCTCGAAGATGTGTGTGTGTGCGTGTGTGTGAGAGAAATCTAAGGTAAATCTAAGGTACAATTTAAAGTGATATCGAAATATCCGGAGATGTGCGCGTCTCGTGATAGCGAATGCGTCAATTAAGGACGAGCATTGGGACGAGCATTCCTGACCCGCCTACAAAGAGTTTTTACAATTTTTTACGCGGCTTGGTGCCAGATTTTTCGGTGCGCAATTAAAGGAACAAACTACTCTGTGTGTAGCGCGAGAAAAAGAACGACCTCTCGTCATGGGTCAGAGATCCTCTCCTGCAAAAGAAGAGCGATACGTTTCTTGAGAGAAATGCGAGCGCGCGGAGACTCTAAACTTTCCTCCTTCTCCATGAAGCCGAGGATGTTTCGAATGTCGAAAAATAAATCACGTCTCGAGAATAGATGTCAGCCTTTACGATTGCATAAATTTGAAACGCGATAAATATTACGCCTGAATATGTAGAGTGTATATTCGGTTACGAATAATCAGATGGGAGACACACATATACGATAAGCTAATTTGTTTACTTTAATTATAAAAGTATATAATTTGAGAAGAATCGGAAGAATAATCTCTTCTCTCGACTTCAAGCTCACATAGAATTTTACTTGTTAGATGAAGTCATTTTGACAATTTAGCACTCATTGTTAAAGGATATAAAAGATATACCTAACGTTCTACAAGCGCAACGTAAGAAACAATATTGCTAATAACATAAAAGAGTAAATATTTTGCTACATATCATAATTTGTACAGATCTAATCGTGCAATGTTTGACCGAAAGAAAAATATTCAAGAATTAATTTTACTAATTTATATATACCGTGTGCAACCTTAATTGATTGTAAGATCAAAACTCGATATTGTATATTATAGAAATCTCATTTGGCGATGTTTGTTGTATCCTTTTCTCGCATCAGGAAATACTTATTGTGTCGGATTCAGTTTTGAATGCGAGTGACCTGACCCCTTTCTAAATTTTAATTATAATTTTTAAGTGGATCGGCACGCGTGCTTACGGCATGTCGCGTCGTTTCATTCATCGGTATGTCGCGACATTGCGATGCAGAAAGTGTTTCGCGATCGTGTTCGCGGTCGACTTGATAGAGCTCTGGCACGAACGTGCAATGTGCTCGCGAGAAATTATTTTCGGCTCCGTAGACTTTGCCACAGGTAGACGCATCACGTGGCACCGCTGCTGCGTGATCAAGAGATCGAAACGCGAATTCAACACGAGCAATGTTTTCTTCCAGGTTTTGACGATTTATGTACGATCAAACATGCATATATATAGATAGAGACAGGATAAAAATAGATCCTTTTTTTATACAAATAGCGAGAGAATTGAAGACTTAAGTGTCACTTAATTAGAGATATGTCATATATAAATGTCAGAAAAAAGTACAAAAGTCTTTAATAAGAAGAAAAGATCTTTGCGCTAAGAGATTAATGTTTTATATATGGTTAATCCTTCTAATCTAATATTACATCAGATTTAATCTTTCATTCTATACTTTTATTTCAATTTTGATAATTCTCGTTATCGATATTTCTTATTATATCTTATTATACAGGAATTATTTATTACAAAGTTGATTTTATGTTTCAATCTTTATATTTCGTGCGACGTGAAATTATCGTGAAAAGTAGATTTCGTTATTACGCCTCACTCTTGCAAAAAAGATTTCGCAATCAAGACCGACGTCGCACCATGTCAGAATAAGCAAATATGCTGACCGATGCTAATTCTTTCTTGATATAATACTCATTACATGGCATAGTCTCTTTCCCAGGGCCTATAAATCGCACGCGGTTTACATTACATCTGTTTACATTATTTTACACACACTCTCGCGTCTATCCGCGGCGACAGGAAGGCGAGAATAATACGTCGCAGACACAATATTTCGAGCGAAAACCATATGAAAGCATTAAACTTTAAATTCATTTTATTTGGTTATACTTGCTGTTATAATTTATTTCCTAATTTTCTTGAATTTGAGAGAATAAAGCATTTACATTGTAAGCGACGTAACAAAAATTCAACTTTTGTAAAAAAAAATTAAAGATTAAATTAAACATTTAAAAAAATATTACAAAATATAAGAGAGAGAGAGAGAGAGAGAGAGAGAGAGAGAAGATAAAAAAATAGAGAAAAAGCTTAATGCATATGTTTAGTATCGTTGCGTCTTATCTGGAGATTTGTATAAGGAAGCAAATTATGTATAAAAATTAATATTAAAAGTTAAATTGAATCTTTAAAGGTTCTTTCATGAGTATATAATTTTTGAATATATTTTTTAATATTTTCACCATAGCATTTTAAACAGCCGTTTTTAACAGCCATCAAATCAATTATGTTTGTATCATTAATTATTTCAAGACAACCAACACGCGACGAATATTTCTTTGTAGGAAAGAAAGGAAATCTCACAGTCAGTGAGATACTTGACGTTAATCTATAAGCGGCATCTTTTAAACGGTGAAGAATCCTCATGAAAACGCCACGTCGTGCCGCATCGTTTCTCTCTGTAATTTTTCGTGAGCGCGACAGACTCGTATCTCAGGTCAATTAAGACGAACTCGTGCGTAAACGACAAACATGTGGAAACCTTCGCATCTTTCATTCTACTTTATTATATAGATGCGTTTTACGAAATGATGATACAAAGACATCGAATAAAAATTCGATTGAAGAGGATACATCGAGGCGAGAGAAAGAGAGAGAGAGAGAGAGAGAGAATTTATGCCACTTTGTATTTTTTATTATTTCTGATTCTAAAAATATCGATATTTGATGTTAAAGAAAAAAAAGGAATGGCTTGATTTGAAATTATTCGTTTTAAATGTTTTATAATATTTTAATTTTTGCAGATGAAGGTAAAATGATATTAGTATTATAATTGAATTCTGCAACATTTCAAATAAATGTCGAGAGAAAATAAAAAATAATTTAATTGATGAGATGGATGCATGCTATATAAAATCAAAGCACATTGATGTGAAACATCGATATAAAACGTCTGTTTGATACGATAACGCGTGAGTGTTGTCACGAAATATACATAATTCTCTAGAATCTAGATATAATCGCTATATTATAGTAGCATCATATCACCAGTGATGGTATAAATTATTGCGAATAATTCGACAAAAAGTTGATAAAAGTTGACTCACGTGTCCGTTATCGTCAAGCTGATTGTTGGTCAGTTTTAACTTGTCGAAGGAAATTGGCTGCTTCATCCAATGAGCGCCACTCGCAGGACTATCGGGATGCACGTGGATCCTGGGGGGTGATACGGGATCGGCTCGACCCGCCACGACCCAGGCGCTGCTGTGGAAAGCGTATCGGTATCTCTTGTCATCACACGGGACAAAATCCATCACCATCAGATACTCCGTGTTGGGCTCCAAACCGAACAATCGACACTGCCGATCATTAAAATTCATCATTTCATTCGCGCTTGACATTCGCGACATGAGACTGCATTTTCGTTTCTGGCCAATTTGTCTGTTTAACAATCACGTATCACACGTCGTATCATGATCCTCACCTGAAACGTGGGGAACATTCTTCGTCCGGCTTTCGTAACGATCATCTCGGTGCCCAGCTGATGGAATTCCTCCCAGAGCGGCTTTGCCTCCAGAGCGGCGCCTGCACCGAGTAATGCCGAATGAAGCGGCCGTTTCACAGCCGATTCTTCGGCGGAGGATCCACCGTCCTCACTCGGATGATGGTCACTGTGATGACTATTGTTGTTGTTGCTGTCGTTGCGCGATTCCATTGTGACAGTTGCAGGGGAAATCGAATTCGCCGAATTCGTCGAGTGAATTGGCAAAATGGCTTTTATCGGATGATTGGGACTGCGAGATCTTTTTACTCTTCCGGCGCTTTGCAAACAGGCTGGAAAAATAGAAGACGATAGAAAACGATTCAACAGATAGATAGATTCGGCGCTTATATCTCTCGATTACGCGAAGACGCGCCGACGCATGTTTTATTTTATATGTATATAAAATGTGCCCGTGTATATCACAGTTATTTCGTTAGCTTTACGTCGTCGCTTTACGAGGAAACTGCAAAAAATTGCAGTTGATTAGTAAATTGACTAATAGTAAATTCGATTGGACGCATATATAGTGCGTATACTCATTGTTAATGCACATTAATGCCTGCACTGTACACTGTCCTAATCTCAATGTAAAAATGTAATATTTCGAATAATAAAATATGCTGAATAAATATTTTATCAAATAAAATAATAAGGTACTATTATAAGAACATACATATTTGCGTTGATTTGTGTACAACAATTTTAATGTGCTCTAAGTGCGCACTAGTGTATCCAACTGAATTTGCTATAATTTAGATTTATCAAGTATGCTTAACGTATCGCTCAGCATAATACAACATCTAAAAAATCATTAAAGCCAATCGGCTTCTGCTCGTAATGGTATATATTTTTGTTAAATACTTTGTTATTTTACATTATGAATTACTTTATCGTTTCGCACATGACACGTATTAACTTTCGTCAACTTTCAAGTTATAAACTTGAAAGTAATTTAGAAATGGGTAATCGAATGATCAACGATCGCGAAAAAAATGTTCGATATGACATTGTCATGTTTGTGCTAAAAAAAAGAAAAAAGAATATACTAACAAATACTGCAGTGTATGTACAGAATGCAATAAAAAAGAAAAGCAATCCTCTTTAATTGTAGTGCAGTAGATATAATATGTAGATACGGCCGCGCTTTTGATCGCGTCGCGGTGACAAATATTCCACGTATATGTATAGGTAGTGGCAGAATGGCATAATCTTCTAATAAATCGAAATATTTCGGAAAAATATACCTAAATAAAAATTTTTTTCTAGCGTTTGATCGAAAAGTTACATGCATCTTTAAAAAAAAGCTAAAACGTATTATTCACCTTCCATTTGTTGCATCGGCGATGGTACAGCTGGCAGATGCTGATGCTGATGCTGATAGTGTTGGTGGTGGTGGTGATAGTGGTGGTGGTGATGCTGCTGCTGCTGCTGCTGCTGCTGTTGCTGCTGCTGCTGCTGCTGATGATGATGATGGTGATAATGCGCTGGCCATTGCTGATAGCAGCAATCGGCGGCGATTTCGCGTCGTTGCTCGTGTTGCGATTGCATCGTCAAATTAGCGATGTCAATTATTATCGTATCAATTACGTGACGAAAAGGTATGAATTATCCACGTGGATTATATCCGTAATCCATGTTGCGAAATTTACTTGAATTGATTCAACTTGATGTGCCTTGTAGTGCACGATCCCTCGACATTTCCAACGTAACGAAAGATTTAATAACGCAAGACGACACCATTCACATTCGCGGATTATTTTCATTGTCATAGTATCCTTGATACATCGATCGATCTCCACTCGAAGGTGTGTACACGTACAATATTATGATTTCTTGGTGCGCGATTTCTGGAAGACGCGCACTTTACTGTCAAAATTATTGTCCGAATAATCGCGATTGTAGATCGTGGATGCGTGGGTCGATCGTAGGTATGATCGTTCGCCGCATGTCGGTATCTCGTAATCTCGCGTAATCCGCTTTCGAAAGCGGGCTTTCATCAGGAAAGTCTCTCCCCCGTTTTCCCGTTCTTTCCGATCTCGTTATTAATGTCGTCGACAACGTAATACGAAACAAGCGCGAATTTCTTCAGCATCTCTCGCGGCTCCTCATTGAAAGAAGATCCGACCGTGATTTCAACGGGCACCGCGACACCGGCGTTCCGATCTCGACCGAGTGCCCGACGAATGCCCGATGTCTCGGCATCGTCGAGACGAAGATCGTTCGCTCTGCCGTGAACAGGACTTGTCCTCACCTCCGTGTCCGGACGTTGACAAGGACGTTTAAAGCTGCGCCTCTCGCGCGCGCGCGCGCGCGCGCTTCTCGAATCTTGGATGAATCGGAAAGAACTCGCCCGAGGCGACTACCCCGCAGCTTATCATCGCGACATCATTCTTTCTCTCCCTCCGAGCAGACAACTCTCGTTCCCTCGCTCCATCTCTCTCTCTCTCTGCTCCGTTTGCGTTTGGAACAGAAAGGATGAAACGAGAGAAACGTATAAGGGAGGAGGGCTTCTTCGAAGATCCTCCTACACAGGCACCCACGCTACCGGTGCTGCTGGACCGCAATGGGATGCTGCCCTCTTCTCCGACGCTAGAAGGCGGAGCCTCGGTCTCGAGTCATCTCGACAAGCCAGAAATGTCAGGGGTAAGTGCAATGGACTCAGGAATGGACTTTTCTATCTTGTCACCCGAGAATAAATATTTCTATTTTATATATTATATGTAGCACTTTATACATACAAGATGGTTCGTTATCGAAGGTGCAATTGGGAATTAGGAAGGAAGGAAGGAAGGAAGGAAGGAAAAATAAAAAATGATGAATTTTATATGAAAAAATTTAATTGAAGAATATTTTTTTCTTGTGTCAAACAAACTTAAAAAAATTGGGAGAGAGAGGGCAGGATTCAAAAAGAGCTAAACTGAGGTTCCGAATCCTTCAATTTAATCACAAATTCTTTTCTTTTCACAGAGTTATTTAATAATATACTATACGTACAATTGTTATAGTGCCGAATGAAATATAATTATACTGTAACTTTTCATTTATAGATCTACATGATGTTTGCTCGTGACTCACTTTAACATTCACAAAATTCTGTATTCTATTAAATACAATATATTAAAGTTTAATATAGTTATACGAACATATACATTATTCGAAAACGAAAGATGTTTTTAGTTCCTGTCAGATCGTTCTTTCATTCCATCGCAAAATTTCATTTAGATTGACCAATCATTGACAATATATGCACGAAAGAAAAAATACTTTTTTATTGATCTCTTGATCTTGGCATTTTGAACAAATTGACGAATTGAAACTTTAAATATCGTAATACACATACACGCATTATACACATGCGCGCGCGTGTATATATAATGAAGCAAATGAGAGAATCGAATTAAATCGTTATTTCTTCGCGTAGAATAGAGTTTCTCATCTCTCTCACGGAATTAAAAATTACTATAAATGTTTGTCAATGTCATCAGTGAAATTTGCAGTTTATTTATAGTGTTATGTGATGAATGTTGTTCCGAAAGAGAAGAATCGTACAATTTTTCGTAAAAAACAAAAATGTATATTATCGGGAAAAGAAAAACATTGAAAATCTTGAAAATTTTCGCTGATTACTCAAAAAATAAAGATTATACGAGATTCGCGAGATGGATGCTTATCGATTTCTTTTAAAATTAGTTTTACTTATATGTATTTTGCAGAAAATAAATTTGAATTCATTCTCCTCCATCTACTCTCCTTTTTTTCTCGCGTGAAGCAGCGCGTAAAGGCGTATCATTTAAGTTTCTTCCCATTTTCATTTCGCATCTTGCATCTCGCGGAGTTTGCATTGGTTTGCGCAATCCTCGCGACTTTGACTAATCTGCTCTTACAATTAGATCACCCGCGTCGTGACGTGCTTCTCCCTCTCGCAACACTTTTGGCATCTCGTTTCGCATCTCGCGACATTTATTGTTAGTACCGACGTATGTACCTCGGTAAGAAAAAAACAATTTCGTTCGAGCATGAACAGTGTGTACTTTTCTTTTGGTCTTCCTGATGCGGCGGTATCGATTCTCCACTTGATATAATTATTAATAAATACAATACTATTTATATTGTATATTATATTTATATATTATATTATACATAACTGTTAATAATGCACTTACACGAGACTGCGATTAGAATCGACAAGTAGAATAATTGTTAATTATGAAGGTATAAGGTTAATTAGAAAGGTAAATAAGTCGAAAATCTTTGGCCGGCTTGTTATTTTATTTTTGGCTAGATTTACGATTTGTATCTATGATACATCTCGCGTGGGTCAAGAGCTACAATTGATATTGTATACTAGCTTTTTTTATACAGGCTTTGAATATCAGAAAATTGAACAAGCTATATAGGTAATTCGCACATGTATCGATTGTAATTGTATCCGATTATTTTAATTGCAGTTTCAATATCTTAATTTTCTTTTTTCTTTTCTTATTCTCTTCCCTAGGCTCTCTCCTCACTTCTTCCGAAAGATTTCAACAGACTTAAAAAAAATATTACGCAACTAGACATTTTACTTGCTGATCAATGGTCTTAATATTGTTCACCGCGGCGTACTTAAATTGAACTCTCTGGTTCAATTATACAAACGATAACGAAAATGCATTGCAAGAAGCTTAATAAGATGAGATAATATGATATTGGTGTTATCGATTTAGCCCTTTTGTACATATACACGTCTCTCTGAATGTGACATAGGTAAAGTTACATCTGCCGGAACGATCGTGTCCAATTAAAAATGTAGCGAGATTAATAGCAAACTTGGAATTACATCTTCATTATATTATTCATTATATTATTCATTATACATATATGTATGTATACATAAATGTATATCTTCGCGACGAGCGGAAACACGTACAGATGTAAAAAATAAACGAATGTCACGAGCGTGTGTTGGTATGTCTACGTACGTGTAGTGTTATATAGATATTATAAATCCATAGTACCTGTTTTGCGTTCGATACATATATGTACGAGATATTCGTGATAGAACGAAATTGAGAGAGCGACATGTCGTATGTAAAGTCACTCGCTCTAAGGATAGATTTTGGAACGAATAAAACTCGATCGAGTAGTGCATACAAGATCGTCTGTTGTTGCGCGTCAGGATGATGGATGCTCTACATCGACTGAAGAAATATGATGGATGTTTTTATGTGAATTTTATTTATAAAAAAGTAATGAATGTACAAGTATGAAGAAAGGAAGCTAAATGTGATTGGTCTCAAGATCCCCGTAATAAGATCCTCACGTCGTAGTTTCTCGTAGCTATCGCGTTTTCTTCCATAATATCGAGGATGAATCTGTGCATTGGTTAATAGGATCGTTGAGGATTAGGATGAACTGAATAAAATGAGTAGCTGAATAAATGGCAGGGAAACGAAGAAGGGGGGGGGGGGGGAGGGAAGAAGAAGGAAAATGATGTTAACAATAGTAATATGTCCTGTTAACAGGACTGTCTCGAGCGAGAGATGGAAAATCTCCCGACCCCAAAAGGCTTCTCCCTTTTCGTATTATTTCGAAAATTAGAATCGACTATCATCAATGACATTAGTGACATCAATCGCTATACGACGCGCGTTCGCGTGTGCTCATTTATTTATTAATCACATGATTATTATCTTTCCACGTTTATATATTGTAGCATCATTGAAATTAATCCAGAGAAGCCTTGCCACCATATAACTGCAATATAAATATTCTCGTTTGTCGCGAGACAATATGTGTATAATGTGAATATTAGTAATTCGTTAACGCTTCGACACTTGCTCTTAAAACAAAATCTCTCGTCTATCTCTCTCTCTCTCTCTCTTTGTATTTCACAATTCACACACACATATAAATGTATATTTATAAAAGTAGGTATGACGTAATAGATGTCGTTTACAAATTTGTGCAACTTACAGAAGTATCAAGCTATAAATACCTATTATACTTCAGGGAATTAAGTCTCTAGATGATCGCTAGTTCATTATTTGTATCGATATCTTCATTAACAGTATACTTACATAATGAAACGAGAGCGCTATGTGTGTGCGTCAGTGTGAGTCAGTGAGTGTTTGTATGTATGCGTATGACTGATTACTAATTATCATATTTTTCTCACGGCATAAAGTGATCAAAAAAGGTCATATCTTTCCTAGAGTAATCAGATATTTGCTATACTCGATGAATGTAAATGCAAATGATGAATAAGCTAAAAGATGCTACGAATGACGAATAGGAAATACGAATTACAATGAAAGTGCCTGGTTCTTCTCTCTACTTCTTATTTTTCAATTGTTAAGAATGTCACGGAAATCACGTAAAATTCTTCCTAATCTTATGATTGATCAATTGTTTTACCACTACTATTTTGTTTTATACGATAACACATTTAGCTACAACATACGCACTATCACTTACTACTTTTGATAAACTCTGTGAAAAGCAACGCCCCTCCGGATTTTCCGATATAGATGTATTTCTGACTGTAATTATTTCCACAGGCTTCGTAGTCAATCAAAAATAATAATAATAATATATAATTATAATAATAATTATTATTATAACTCATCTCTCTCTCTCTCTCTCTCTCTCTTCTCTGTCTGCCTCCTTTTACAAGGTTTTTTTTTAATGTCTTGATAGATGTTGGGTCGGGCGGTAGCAGTTGTAAGATCCTAAGCATTCGAAAAGATAAATCTAAGAACTTCACTTCTTCTTATTTTTGTTGTTTGCACCCCGCGGTGGCGTCACAGGCCGTCCAGCATTCAGACCACCGTAAGTAAATTTCCTCTTATCGGCCGGTTTCAAAATTTGGAAACTGCACATGAGAGTCTCGTCCACTGACATCATGGCACCTGCATTGTCAAACTCGCCGCAGTAGTTCGGAGCCGAGAACAGTGTCACTAATTGCCGTTTGGCAAAAAATTCATAACCATCTTCCACCACCTGAATAAGTATTCAATTTCAAGATATAATACTTGAAAAATGTCATGAAAATTAATCAAAGTATATAAAATATAAAATAATATGTTAAAAATGTTTACCTGATGCGCACGACATATAAGATCAAAGTCATGTTTGTGTAAAAACTTGGCAACGACTTCTGCGCCGAAAGTGAACGATACACCACGATCGTTTTCGCCCCAACCCATAGTGTCTTTATCGGGATCGGACCACAATAAATCACAGAGCAATCCCTGATCAGGTACATCCGTCGGTCGCATGATACGTCTGATCTGCTCCATGCTTTGCAGATCCGGACTCAAGCCTCCATGGCAGCAAAATATCTTTTCATCTACTATCGCAGCAACAGGTAGGCAATTGAAGCAATCGGTAAATGTTTTCCACAGTTTAATATTGTAACGACGTTTACCTAAAATACAATTGTATTAGTAGGAATAGAACAAGTAAGCTCTACCCATCCAACAATTGAAAAAAGAATATCACGAGAAATATTATTCCTCTCTGATGGGATATATACTTACATTCATCATAAAATCCATATATCCTATTAATGGACGCGCATTCATGATTTCCTCTCAACAAGAAAAAATTTTCTGGATACTTGATCTTATAGGCAAGAAGGAGACAGATAGTCTCCAATGATTGTTTCCCTCTATCAACGTAATCTCCTAAGAAAAGGTAGTTGCTTTCGGGAGGAAAACCGCCATATTCGAACAATCGCAACAAATCGTAGTATTGTCCATGTATATCACCTTATGAAAAAAAATTATACGGGATCTTTAAATAATTCAATATTACTAAATGTTAGCGAAATTATATTATTATACATGTAATTTTTCTCGGAATCTCAGTTTAATCCAGGTTAATGCATATTTATTTACTTACCACATATTTTCAATGGTGCTTCGAGTTCTAACAGGATGGGTTGTGATAGAAAAATTTCACGTGATTTCAGACACAGTCCTCTAATCTCCACTTCCGTCAGCTGAACATTTTTGCCTGGTCTTGCTCCTCGTACTAAACAACGATGGAAAAATAATGTTTTTGTGATGGTAATATGAAGTAACGTGAAAAATCGTTACGTTAGAAGTATCATAAATTTGATATCGTCGTCGATTTCTAATATAATTATTAAAATATATTGAAAAATAATAGGATAATATAGAGAAAGAGTACATTGACACCAAACATCTTTCTTTAGCCAATACTTATGTTATTATAACAATGCAAATGCTGTCTAAAATAATAATTAATTTATTTCATCACCTTTATTATTTCTTTTTCAAAAATGTATACTACATGTAAACTAGAGCTAAACAATCTTATTGTAAGATATTCTGTGAAATATATATCGTCTAATGCTAAATCTCTCATCAATTTTGCATCAATCTGTATATTCTGATATTCTATGTATAGCTGCAAAAAATTCAGAGTTGGGCATTTAAGAACGAATGAGTTATTCGAAAGGATAATGTAACATTGTACTTATAAATAAGAGAATCATATTTTGGAAGAAAACGTCTGCCTTATCAATTCAATACTTGTTCATGCTTGTAGTGGTTACTTTTCTAATATTTAAAGTAACATTAATGCGAAAACAAAATGGCTTGGGTATGGGTAAGGGTAAGACAGTACAGTGCTCTCCTAAATAAAAGACTCTCTTGGCGAGGCTAAACATTTCACCGAACGGACTTGGTCCAGAACCGCAGCGAGACGCGTATTCGCGGTTGTCAAACGCGCGTTTTTGTGTAAACAAACTAACGCGCGTGCTATTCGGTGACGAGAGTCGATTGGAACGCGTTCATCGTTTTCGAGGACATTGCGTAACGACGACGACGGGAACGGGAGATAATGGTTAATAGTTGGGATGGCGTTTCGATGTGCCCTTGAGTGTGTGTGTGCGTGTGTATGTGGTGAGATAGAGGGATAGGAGGGAGAAGAGGGAGGGAGAGGGGAAGAGAGTGAGCAAGAGAGACCGGGTCAGGGCGGGCATCGTCGTGGCGTGGCATGTCCGAGAGTAGCGAGGAAAATTGCGGGCATGAAGGAAACGCGCGGGGGGTAACGGAGATGACGGGCGGCGAGCCGTGCGAGCGATGCTCGCCGCGCTGCATCGCCGCCAGCACCACCACCCCCTCTCCCCCCTTCTCTTCGTCCCGACCAGCGTACAGCGATCGACCAGTTTTACCTTCCAAGAGCCGAGCAATGATGTTGTCGATGTTCAATTTGTCGGTCTCAGCCATCGGGCCGGAGTCTCGTACGCGTCCCGAACTTGACACAGGGCACCTTACTGCAGAGATGATGGTCGGTCCACCGAAATTTTTCGCTTGTGTGCCGCACAACACGGAATCGCGCTCGCGGCTTCGTACAAGTTACTCGCAATGGCCGTCCGGATAACCGCGCCGCGCCGCGCACTCCACTCCCTTTCGCCTCGCCTCGCCTTTCCTCTCCTCACCGCTCCGCAACACTCTGCTCCGCACCGCACCGCACCGCACCACTCTGTACCACACCACCTCTGTCGTACTTTGTCGCTCCCCTGTGCTGTGCCTACTGTCTAGTGTCTACTCGCTTGGGCTTGACTCGCTTCCTCGATATCACGCGATATCGCCGAGAGACACAAGGTCTGTTCGCGTTGCTTGCACTTTTTGCACTCGGGGAGTCTTCTCTCTCTCTCTCTCTCTCTCTCTACAATGCCAGAATATAAATTTATCTCTTTTTAAGTACAAAATTTTTAGGGACTTGAAGCAGTTGCGACACTGCGACAAGCCAACAAATATATCTCGATCTCTCGAATACACTCGACTGATTCGACAATCTCGACATGCGCATCGCCACTGATCGCCAATCGCCACTCGTCTAATGGACAAATCTTGAGGTGTGCTCGTTCAAGTGCTCCTCAAATGTATCATTTTATCCCCAGCTTGTTTAACATTCAGTTACAACACAACAAGGAAAAAATAATATGATCTGGGTGACACTTGGGTGAAAATACTGGGAATAGTGGAAATTGTCCAAATGCACCCTTCAAATAGGGGAAATGTATATGTTCGATTTCTCGATGTGACTTTGGAATGAAGACATCGATATATGTAAATCGATTGTCGAAATCAATCAGTCACGCCGACATCGACAATAGCCAGTCAGTAGCCACCGAACGCGAACGGTTATCATCTGTACTGTACGATCATACGCAATTGTCGGCGATTGTGTAAATTTCTATATAACATTTTGTAGCATCGTCTAGCCAACGTCGATAAAAGAATAAAAGATGCCGGAGAACGTGGTACGTACATACATACATATATCTTGACAAAATTCCTTTTCTTTCACGTTTTTTATCCAAATTAATATACAGATCGTCACGATTAATTACGAATGTACAAGATTATATCGTGGACAATGGATTATGTTGCGTATTATTTTTATAAACGTAAATGCATCCAAGATAAATATTGTGCGTTTTCTTCGATGACATATAGATAACATTTACTTTAATCTGAATTTTCTTACGATTTTTCTCTCTTGTATATATTTAGAAATAAACGAAAACTAATTAATCTATCTTTAAAGGCTTGTTTGCGTTGCCTGAAAATTTTTGCACTTTAAACGAAATAAATTATATTAAAGCGCGTTGAAGAGAGAGAGAGAGAGAGAGAGAGAAAGCGAAGCGATTCAGTGCAAAAAAGTGCAAGCAACGCAAACAGTAGGCTTAATATATTTTTATTATTAGATTTCAATTAAAATTTGACATTTTTTTTTTAATTGTAAGCATTCTGAAGTTGGACTATTTTGAATAAACATAAAAGCATTACTTTTTGTTTTTAAGCTAAATGGTGATCATGTTGACGTAAAAGAGGCCAACTGTGAGTCTCAAGATAATGATGAAGAGAATACTGAAAACATTCATTTTGATGTCCATTTTGAACCTATAATTTCATTACCCTTGATTGAACTAGCTACCAATGAAGAAGACGAAACAGAGATGTTAAAGCTGTAAGTAATTAATGCTGAATAACATTTATTAAGGATTTTGATTTCAATCATTGATTTAATCAAGATTGATCAAGACAATGTACATGAATTTTTTTTCTATGATTTCCAGACGGGCAAAGTTGTACCGTTATGATACGTCGAGCAATCCTGCAGAATGGAAGGAACGTGGCACAGGAGAGGTCAAACTACTAAAACACAAGACAAAAAATACAGTTCGAGTGGTGATGCGCAGAGACAAAACTCTTAAGATCTGTGCAAATCATTTTGTCACTCCATGGATGGAATTGAAACCAAATTGTGGCAGTGATAGAGCATGGGTTTGGAGTGTACTTGCTGATTATGCTGACGAACAACTCAAGGCAGAATTATTTGCGATACGTTTCGCAAATGCTGAAAGTAAGTTCTAAACGGTTACATCAAATTATAAGCTTGCGCATATTTTGTGTATGTGTTGTAAAGCATCATTACCATTATTGTATGCAATAATATTGTAGAATCATATGTTTATGCATTATTTCACTTGCTTATGATAGATGCATCGCTGTGGAAGGAGGCGTTTGAAAAAGCTCAGAAGATTGTAGGATCTGATTGTGAGATTTATGCTGGTAAAAACAATTCGGAACAAAAGCGTGTTGAAAGTGACAGCGAATCCAGCAGCGATGTAAGTTATGTAAGCGAAAGTACTGATAACGAAGATCAAACTAAATCATTCAAGCGAACTGAAAATTGTGACGCAATTTCTCAACAAAAGGATATTGAGAAAGAAATAGTAACGAATGAAGATGAATTAATCAACGAAATCACAAAGTTAAAAGTGATAAATGAAGGGCACGAAAAGTAATAATTATCTCAATGACACGAACGTATGTATGTGTGTTGTATGTATGTATGTATGTATGTATGTGTTTAACATAGAGTTTCACATCAAAAGAATTCATCCATTCTAACATTGTGTGCGCAGATATATATTACATACCATTGTTTCATTATTTGAATATATGTAGATGTATAGCATTTTTAGCAATAGTACTGTGTGGAAAAGCTTATTAAATTTCCAAGTGACAAAACCGTATTTAGGTATATAAACGTACTATCTGTAATTTTTCAAATTTAGAATTGAGACTAAATTCATATAAAGTTACATAAGGAATGTATGTGAGGGAATGTATATTGACTCTGTCGAGAAACGAATAAATACAACGACAATTGTACGAACAGAAAGCTCTCCGTATTTTATTTATTCATTATTTCACAAAGATGATTCGTTTATGCATATTATATCACATGTTTTTTTTGATAGTAATTACGCGTTACCTTAAAAAGAATGAATATTATATATTGAAAGAGTATGTAATATAAAATTGATCCACTTGTCTACTTTTTTTTATGATGTGTCATCTTACTTATCCACAACCTGGCAATCTTATATTTTCTTAGAGAATATTTTTAATCATTCTTTTAAATTGTCTACTGCTATTTTATATGCTTTATGTAATACATATAATACTAAATTAACTTAACACATTTCTTGCTTATCTATTAGATCCATAAATTTGAGATTTTGCATGAACGTCTAAATTATGTGACTATAAATCAAAAGAGATTAAACGAATTGAACAATTGAATGATTTTTATTTAATGGTCATTGTCAATGGATCAAATATGTCGTGAGTCGGAAAGGACGGAGGCTGGCTCGGCTTCCAACGAGACTCAATTTCAGATACACAAGCAATAAATATAAATATTAAATGACTGATTTGAGTGATTTGACAAACGGACAGATAGTCTTGGATATGAGAATTATATATTTTCAATATTTATTGCCTATTTTTACTTTATATTCATCTGTATTTTCTGTACAGAAGAAAAAATAAATACTAATTGCATGAAATAGTGAATCACGTTGCATTTTGCGTTTGCCCATAGAGTACAAAGCAAGCGAGAAATATTTCGTTACAGAGGAATGGACCAAGGAATGCAAAATAATCTTTCAAGTAATAGTAGTGTCTTTTAAATAAAAAATAAAGTGTGTATCTTAATACATGCGCGGTTCCTGTTTCTACAGCCACTTTATAAAACTTGATCTTGAACTTGAAAATATGTATAACGTATCAATCGACACACTCGGACTAAAATTTGGTTGCTAGGTTACTTATTGTTAGGCTGATAATTAATAATTTGAATACAGCTCTATAGCTCATCCCTCGCTGAAAAAGATTGCAAGATGTTTCGTCTCTCTTCCATCGTACGCTTCTTTTGATCAGACAATTTTCCTCTATAAAGAAGCCCCTGTACTCGCGTTTCTTCCGTTTGTACAAATACATCTCCTCGCTCCAGGATCTTCTCCATAGTCTTGACATAAATTTTTGCTGCCTCTCGTTGCTCTTCCGGTAGAGTTTCTTCAAAGATTCTTGCCTTCTTCAATATGTCCTAGGAAAAATAATAAACATGTTTCATAGAGGAATATAATATGATGGTACATGGTAAATGTGTGAAGTGGGGAATTATTTTAATCTTTGCTTGAATATTTTCAAATTCAAAAATACATTTATGACAAAGCCGCACGCATTTTAGCACCAATAAAATATACTCGAGTCGTCTTGTGGTTTTTTAAATTCTTACCTGCCTGTCCTGCTCTCCCGCAGCTTTAAATTCTTCGGCTAGCTTATCCAGCCGTTGTACGCATCCTGGTAGGCCCAAGTACACTCTCGATCTAGATCTGATAAATCTCTTCAAGTATTCGCCCGTAAAATCGGAATCTCTCTCAGGAGTGAAACTGATTGGTGCCGATTTGCCTTGTATAAATAGTAAAACTACTGGAAAGTCATCTTTCTTAATGTTGTAACGTTGCGCCAGATCAGAATTATCCTTATTGCCAAAGTCCTTCACACCCACTGTGGCTATCAGGAGATCCTGCGAATCTTTGGTATCGGCAGCTACGGTCGCGTATTGTTCGTGCTTGCCACCATATGGAAATGCGACATCGAATTTAACAAGCACTGCCTTGAACTTGGGAATAACCTGCATGAAAAATGTTTATTAATAGAGACAATTATAACTCTTGTCAAGTTGAATATTACAAATGTGTAATATGTGAATGTGTGAGTGTAAAATATTTAACATATTATATATAATTATTTTCATATTAAGAATGTAAGAATAAATGTAGAATATGAGTTTTCCATATGTAATCATAAAATAAAATATCAAATCTAATGATTTGTAGTTTCAAGAAATTTCACTTTATCAATTATATTATCACATCCTCTATATTTGTAATCTACAATTTGTATCTACAATTATTTGTGCACATAATTATTAAAAAAAGGTATATTTTATAGCATTAAAATAGGTATCATAAAATTGTATATTAAAAGAAACGCTTTTATCAATGCATACGTTCAATCGATTTGTTGGAGTTTAGCAGAATCTATATACATACATATATATTTTTGTCGTAAATAAAAAAATGCTTATAAATCAAAGTACATATAATGATAATGGAACTTGCTAACAATAACAGATGTAGGTAACCATAGTAATTTTTAATCATATTTTTCTCAATATAGTAGACATAAATACATATATTTACGTGCACGCATATACACATCAAATGTGTGCAAGCAATACAAAAAATATGCTAAATTATATAATATTACAAGGTTACTCAAATATAAAACAATGTTTTTAACAATTTTTATCATTAATAATTATCGTTAATTTTATTCATTCTAGTTAGATGCTGATGCGAGAACAAATAAAAATTTTCTTAATAAATCACACACGCACACACACAGAGAAAATTTTTAATACATATAATATATATATATATATATATATATATATATATATATACACATATACATATACTTATTGATACATGTATGTACGCAGTACATGGTTATAAATTAAGAATTGTGCCAATTTTGGTATATGTCATTTCATATGAAAATTCTAGATAAAATTCTGAACTTTTCATAATTTCGTACCTTGTCGAACGAATATGAATCCAAGGGCACACATCCTTTGCAGTCATCACCGACGATAACGTGCGAAGCAGCGATGACGAGAATGAGTACAAGACCCGATCGAATCATGATGGGTAAAAACCGCGACGTTTGTGCAACTACTTGATTATATCTCTCTAATTAGATCATCAGTTTCCTCAAATTAATCAATTAACTATTCCGCTCTTTTGCGAAATCAGACGATAATTATCCTATTTTTCTCATATATCCGCGAGTAACACACTCGTGAAACACGCACGTGTAACACGAAACAGCAACGTGTCTGCAGTTCAACGAACCGGCTCCGTTCTCGATTAGAGGTTAGAGTTGTAATTGTTGATTGTTATCGAGTCTGATCGAGACAAGTACCCTGCACCAAATTCATCCAAGCGCATCAAGTATCAGATAGAGTGGAAAATCCTATACGTCCCTATTAATTTACTTTTGCATATACGCGGTCAATCTCCTCTATTCTAACATCTTTTGGACTAATTTTTCCTTCATAGGTATCAAATCAGCTGTTTTTTCTTGTTTTGTTTGTTTTCTTTAATTAAACTAGAAAATTTTCTTCCTCCTTTCCAGCTCTCCTACTCCTACTTTTAAGCTCCTACTGTTCGCATTCGCCATATGACAAACATAAAATATGACAATTCATAAAAATGAAAGAACGAGTAGAAAACGTAGACATTTCTCACTCAGTACGCATGTGCCGCCATGTGCCATCCCAATCCTAGTGTCACTGAACAAGAATAGGGATCAAGGGAAAACTCTTGGTCTTTTTGTTTTTAATTCAGGAAAATTGCTTTTTTTATCGCAATAACTAGATTTTTCATGCACAATCGCAGTTTCACTGACTTTTTATATAAAGGAAGAAATATTTAAGGAAAGGAATTAAGTTACAGATTACTTCTATATAATAATGTTTTTGGCAACGGTAGAATCAGAATTTTTTGAAATTTGTTCAAAATTCATTACTTTTTGTTGTAACCAATTTTTACCAATTTATCATACACTTTTACTTTTTTTTCTTTTAAAACTTGTTCTAAAAATGGCCAACAATCTTTCATATTTTTCTCATAACTAGATACTGTAAGTGAATTTTTTATCGTTACCAATATCTCTCTCATATATTAAATCATTTTCCCTTTTTATATTCTAGTCTTGGTCTTCCCTTCTTCGTCGTTGGCTTATCCTTTCCTTTATTTAACAAGGGATGTGTTTCTGCAAATTTTATTAATTCCTTAGATTACCGGTATAAAAGTTTAGCTATCATAGATGCTTAAAAATTGTGTTACAAGCACACTTTTTTCTTTATGCAGGTGAGAGCTTACCGTCAATCGGTGCCCCCTGTAAATCTATATCGTGTGAACGATGTTTCTTCATTGGCGGTTCGTGTGGCGTTACTTGATTATCCTCGGAATCTTCCACATCTGGAGATATAGGTAGAAATTGAAGAGAACCAATATCTTCAGTTTCTTCATCAGAGCTGCAAAATGCAGCAACTCTGTCAATTGATGCAACGTCAACTTCTATTTCTTCATCCTGAGCCTCTTCTCCTTGTACAACAGACTTATCTTCGTCACTCAAATCAAATTCACTTTCCCTTTCCTCGTATTCAACATTTTCATCCAACTCTTTGAAATCCGGCGCAAACGCAGACCAATTCTCCACCTGATTTTGTGCCCAAATTGAAACTACGCCTGATGATATGGATGCGATTATTGGCCTCACTGGGTGCCACTGGACGATAGAGGGAGAAAATAGAAGATATTAATGAGAAATATCATAGTAACTATACATTTATTTTATTTTTTTCTCTCTCTCTCTCTCTCTCTTTTTCTTACCACAACATCGAGTAAAAGCTCGCCTTTAGTTCCATGTAAAATTTTCACCAAATTTCCTATACTCTTTTCCCATACGTACAATGCGTGTTGTCTCGCTGATCCAGCGCACACATATTCTCCGTCGCCCGAGAAGCAACATTTTTTCCACATTGTTTTATTTACAAGATCTTGCAATTTTTGTATTGGCTCAGGTTCGCCATCCTTACCACACGCTAATATTTCAGTACTGTCATATACGCGAATGACTCTATCAGCGGTATTAACTAAAAAACAGGAGCCTCGTCGTGCAAATTCTATACTTTTTACTGCTGTGTTGCTAGCAGTACCTTGCGTTATTTTGTAAGAGGCTTTTACATTTAATGTCTCAGCGTCAAGAACTAAAACTCTTCCGCGAGCATTTCCTGTATACACATAATCTCCGCGTCGATCAAATGATGCTACTATGTTTAAATCACTCTGAAATTAGACCAATATTATTTTTATTTTATTCTCGTATCATAATTTCAATTGATATTTCAGTTAATAGCATTACTTTAAATCAGTATAAATTTCTAAAAATTCTTTCCTTTCACATGTAGGATGTGAAAAGATTTAATTGATATTAATTTTTTAACATTGACGTTTTGCTAAGAAAAATTGAAACGTTCTCGATCGAGGAATAAAACCATATATCTATCCTTTTTATGAATTTTTGCAAATATATATATTATAATGTACTACGAATATGTAATATGAATATGCAAATATTAGCGCATTAGTGAGATTAGTGTATGTTGTGAGTGATGTTAATATCAAACAATATATGTTATATATTACATACATCTTCATCAAGTGGTATAACTCTATGTGTTCCTTCGACATCAACCATAACAGCAGCATGGCGCATTGGACATACTAAAAACTTGTTGAGATTTCTTGGATGAAACTGTACTTTTAATATTGGAGAAGGAAATCTATATTTTTGATCACACTCTCCAGATAAAACATCCCATATACATACATTATTGTCTGTTGATGCACTTAATAACTTGTGACCATTTCTAGACCAACTGAAAAATACAACTATTGGTTAATACTTAATTTTTCTTCTAAACAATTTCTTTTTTATTATATTGCCTTATCTTTATCTAAATCATCTTATATACAATTTTAGAAAGTTATAACTATATATACAACCTGTAATCTTTTGTAATCTTATAATCTATGTTACGAGGTCTCTTACCTCAATGAACATACTGGATGTACGTGTGCACTGATAATTTTAGCTATGCCACGAGTCAAAAAATCCCAAATGACTATTCTTCCATCGTTGCATCCAACAGCAAGTAATGTTCCTCTTTTATTAAATGTACAGGTTACAGCAAGGGATATACAATCTAACGTACCATCAAATTCCTAATAAAAATTATCATGAAATAATGAAGAAATGTTTATGTATCTAATTATTTCATTAGTAAAATCACAATTAACATTGTATAAACTTACTTCTGGGTAGTTTTGACCGAATGACTCTGTAAAAAAAAATTATACACATATAATTGTTAGAATGAATATTATAAAGCAATGTACTAAAAAATTTAAATTTTATTATTATTATTAGCCACACATATCTCATAATTATTTATTTACCTAATAGTTCCAAGTTCATTTTCGGACAAAACCGATTTTTGTTTTTTATGTTGTACACGCTATATTCTTGTCAGCTTTAATGGAGTATTCTCACTGCAGCTAAAGGGCTAAAGCTGCTTTTTCATACGAGCGAAGAAAAGCTAGTGTTTTACTCCATTCAAATTCAAATCCAGCGTTGACAAGTTTAAAGCTTTCGCCTCCTTTTTTAATTTTTTTATGGAGCGTATCTTTGTTGACTACTATGCGGTGCAAGTCGCATAAAGAGTCGCGTGTTGACTGTTGCTGTCACATCGATAACGTAGATTTGTCAACTCCATCTAGTCCATCTTTCTGTAAGCGCCAATAGAACACAGTTATTATAGCACCGTGACGAGATACTAGCTGCTGTTAAAGAGACCGCAATCCTAAATTTTATATACATATATGTATATGTATGTATGTACATACATACATATATACATACATACGTTACACATTGCAATGTATGCGTCTAATTAATTGACTCGACCACATCCATTCTTTCTACTCTCTGCCTATGATTTTATTGACAGTGTCAGAAAATGTAGCCACGTAGTTCCCATCTCTGCAAAAGTGAACGTAATGGCGGTAGTGTCTGTGGACAGGCAAGTCGCCGGTCCTATGAAAACGTGATACATACATACATACATACATACATACATGCATGCATCATGCATACACAGTATACTACATGATATGTATATGTTTGTATCGTGGTATACTACATATACATACGCAGAGACAGGCAGTGCATAACAGTGCATATTGATGATTGATATTTTACAAGAATAGGACAAATTATTTCGAGATAAATATAGGGACGTGTAAAAAGAAGAAAATCATAATGAAAACACAAAAGTGGGAGGAATTGGATGTGCGACTGAGTGATCCTATACTGAGAACACTCAAACAATTGAGATTTTTCAATATGACACCAGTTCAGGTTATACATAATAATACTATGACACCATGCGATAAAAACATGTTAATATATAAATGTAGAAAAAATTGTGTGGCGCGCGCGCGCGCGCGATCGTATGTATACATTTATGTATTATTTATTGTTATATTTGTTATATTTTTTATATTTGTAGGCAGCTTGTATACCGTTGTTATTAAATGGTAAAGATGTTGCCGCAGAAGCAATTACGGGCAGTGGCAAGACACTCGCTTTTCTTATTCCTCTGTTGGAGATGTTACAAGTAATCTTTCATTTCTTACATTATGCATTTATCTTCTTAAACGTTTAGAAAATTTGGCGTATTTTTTCTTAATTTTGTAATTACAATATACATACAATTGATTTTATAAAATTGTATTCACAATAAGTAGGTATCACTTATGTACATATATAAAGATATAGCAGATTAAGCTAAAGATTTCAATTATTAATAATAACTTAAAATGGAAGTTAATTTCAGTTAATTAAAGCTTTAATTCATTTCTTTTTTTTGGCAGATTTAGTATAGCAAAATGATCTATATATATATATATATATAT